AGAATGCCCGGGTGCTCCAGGCACTACAGTGGACCTTGTCTCGGAGGCTTGTACCCACCCAAGGGGCCAGGGTGAACAGACTCAAGGCATGACATGCAGCCGTGTTTAATTTCCCCCCAGTCCCCGCTTCTCCCAGCCCTTGCCTCCCCACAGCCTCCCTTGTCAAGGTCCCAGTTGCAGCTCAGATCTCTCCCCTGGGGCTGTGGGCTGTGTCCTGCAGGCCACACGAAGCCACGGCTGCAAAGGGAGGTGACAGAAGGTGCCTCACTATTTATTCAGCACCCCTCACCCCCAGGCCCCAGCTCCTGCTTGGGCTTCTCCCATAATACACACTCAGGGCTCCGTGCGGTCTGTGTCCCCGGGGAAGCCTGCTGGCTCCATGCACCTCTGAGCACAGAGACAGCCCCTTGCCTGTCGGCTATGGTTCCTCATACCCAGTGGCCTTTCCCGCCTGAGGCTCCAGGCTCAAGGCTGGGACATATGAGATGTCCTGTGAGCCCACAGCCCCGGGCTGCCTGAGTGATCTGCCCCCTCCCCACCGCACAGAGACTACGGCCACCTGGATTCCAACAGAGGGGTCTCTGGAGGGACCTGGTCTCCCCAGGCCTCAACTTCCCAAACTTTAAGACACAGACAGTCTTCCCTTCCCTTGAAACCATAGAACTTTAGAGTTGGAAGGAACCTTAAAATCCTCCTACCCATACTCCTTTGTTTACCAAAGAAAAATCTGAGACACAGAGAGACAGGAAAGTCGTATAACGTCACACAGCATTTCCACAGCTGCAGCAAAATGACTTCCCCCTCCAACACGGTTTTCAAGCTTTAGTGAGTGTGCACTGCAAGCCCCTTTCAGGGGCTGGGGGTGGGGGGAATTAAAATGCAGATCCCTGGGCCTCACCCCCCAGGCACACATCCAGTAGGTCTGGGGCCCCAGGAATCTGCATGTCAAACAAGCTCCCTAGGTGATTAGCACACAGGTTTCTCATCACCCGTGTGTTTTCATTCCCTACCCACCTCACTGGGCTGCTGTAATGGGAAGGCAATGGGAGGGGCTGGAGGGCTTCTTAAAGATCACTGTCTGCTGAGAAGGTGCTCATGCTTCCCTGTCTCCCCACACCTTCCCCATCTCTCCCTCTCTATCCTGCTGGTCACTTGAGCGATTTCCCAGGTCTCTTGCTTCCAGGTCTGGAGCCCTTCTACTGAAAGAGGGATGGTCACTGTTCCCTTGATGGTATACTGTCCCACTTGGCCCAGGACCTACTATCTACTGGGAGAACCAACAGACCAGGTGCAGAATCTGGGGCTGGAAGGTCAGCTGTCACCCATGAGAGTCGGGGATGGTAGGACAGTGCTGGGGCTATTCTCACCCTCCAGAAAGCAACAGGGGTGGGGTCAGACGCTCCTGAGTGCAAGCTCTTCTCAGTCACTAACGATGTGACCTTTGCACCTCGTTTGCTTGTTGTTGGGGAAGTTGTGGGTAAAGGTACTTGCCAGGCGCAGGTATTGTATTAAAAGAGACGGCACTTATAAACCACAAACCACCGCCATAAGGCAGGGCCACCGGGCAAAACACAGGACGGCCAGTGACGTGAATTTCAGAAGAACAGCAAGTAATCCTGTGTGTGAGAATATCCCAACGTGGCACGGGACACACTGATACTAAAATATTAGGCCGCGTTGATCTGAAATTCAGAGTGAATTGGGCATCCTGGAGTTTTGCTCGTTTGTTTGCTTGTTTGGGGTTGGTTTGCTTGTTTGCTGTTGCTAAGGTGGCCAGTGGGCATTCTGGCAGGCGTCCCCTTGCTCTCTTGCTTCAGACCCAGCACCGGCAGGCCGGCTCCCCCTGAGTCCTCAGACCCAGATGCCTCCGTGCCCCGCTTCCCCATCAAGCCCTGAGGAGCCTGCACAGAGGGGACCGGCTGCCCCGACGGGTGGCTGAGCGCTCCCATCAGCAAGGAGGCTCACTGGCAGACGATCACATTTTTTTTTTTTTTACAGTACGCGGGCCTCTCACTGTTGTGGCCTCTCCCGTTGCGGAGCGCAGGCTCCGGACGCGCAGGCTCAGCGGCCATGGCTCACGGGCCCAGCCGCTCCGCAGCATGTGGGATCTTCCCGGACCGGGGCACGAACCCGTGTCCCCTGCATCGGCAGGCGGACTCTCAACCACTGCGCCACCAGGGAAGCCCCGATCACATTTTTTGTGCTGTCAGGGCTAGTCAAGGTCACTTGCTCAAGGTCACTTGTTCAATTTGCTTCTCTGGGGGAGGAGGGACAGGGGAGGTGAAGGAAAGACAATGAGGGTGGGTCTCCTCTGCTCCTTCCTCTGAATTCCCTCCCCTGGGTGCCTGCCTAGAAAGCCTTGGAGCTTGTGCCCCATGGTGCCTGGCTTTCCTTGGTGGGAAGTGGGTAGTCAGCGTGGCCAGGGGCGGGGGGCGGGGAGCCAGGAGGCCCTGGTGCACTCCCAGCTGCTTCTAACTCTCTGTGTGACCTTGGGCAAGTCACTCGCATCACCTCTCTGGGCCTTCCAGAGAAAACGGGGTAATAGTAACAGCACTAATGCTTGTTAGTACATACTGTGTGTCAGGCACTGCTCTAAGTACTTTATAGATAATACCCTTTCAATCCTCCGAACTAGTGAGAAGTAGAGGCAGGATTTGAACTAAGCAGCTCTGTGCCAGAGTCTGGGCACTTGGCCCCCTTGCCTGCTGCACCGGTGAAAACATGAGAGGCCCAAATGCAGGAGGAGGAGGGAAGGGGGTGACTGACACCTAGCGATCACCTAGATCATCTACTCCTTGCTAAGATTACCACACCCTCGACAGAGCCGACTTCGCGCAACCCTCGCCGCAAACACGCTGTAGGATTTTGATCTTCAGTGTGAAGTCAGAGGCAGGGAAACGGAGGCACAAAGAAGGTCAGGGGCTTGTCTAGGGTCATAATCTGAGTCTACGTGGGAGCTCAGCTCTCCCACGTCAAGGCCTGGGCTAGGTGCTTCGCAACCGCCCCACTTCCGGTTCACAGAGCTCGGGACGCTGCTCTGGCCACAGAACATGGGCAGTGAGGTCAGAGCTGCTTTCAGTGCTTCACCCCAGGAGATGCCGGAAGCCCCCATGCTGCCATGCTGCTGTCTCCATCCTCTCCCCGCCTGAATGAGACCAACTCTTCCCCAGGGCCTGGACACTGTTGCTTGCTCTGGACCCGTCCATCCTTACCCCCAGCCACACATCCTCATCTGATGGCTCTTCGCTTTCCTACATTACAGACAGTAGGAAGGATAACATTTTATATTCTTTGCTCTTTAATTTACCCGCTTTATCTTGACAATCACTGGTCAGATGGATTGGTCAGCACCACTGTGTCCCAATTTCACACAGGAGGAAGAGGAGGTTCAAAGAACTTTCCCAGAGTCACCCAGTTTTTAAGCCAGGACTCCAGTAGAGGCCTCAGAGGGCAACCAAAGTACTGTAAAGATGACGAAACCGAAGCCCAGACAGGATACCTGTCCCGGTCAAGGTCACAGCCAGCCACGGCACAACTGAGACTGAAATCCACAGCTCCTGACCCGTCACCCCTAGCCCTCGAGTGAATGATGGTGGGAGCCAATGACAGCACCTCAACTGACAGCTGGGGTTCATGATGCCAACTCTACCAAGAAGCAAAGGCAGATGCCATGAGAACCAAGGGGAACCGCCGTTCAACAGTGACGTCTGCATCTGGACCTTCCTGTCTTCTGGTGGGGAGGGTCTGGGGAGTGAGTGAAGGCAAAGTTTAAAGTCAGGCGACTCTGTACCTTGCAGGTCAGATCTTTTTAGGACTTGCTCATGTGGGAGAGCCAGCCTGGGCTTAAAGTTCCAGCTCAGGGGCCCGTGTCTGCAGAGAAGTGACGGCCCCTAATACCTGGGATTTGTGCTAGTGACAGTACAGAATGAATAAGCGAGCACAGGAATTCCGGACACAGATGAGCAGCATTTCTGAATTCTCAATAAATGGAAAAAATATATATGTACCCACGATAAATCCACATCTATGTCACCTTTTATACTGTGGGTCTTTCAGCTCTGGTTCCTGTTCTGACAAACCCTCGGGGTCAAGGTGGGAGGTGGAGTCTGGCTCTGAGAGGTCGCTGCTCACATGCTCACCAGGGGAAGCCTGGAATCCACTGAAAAGAAGGGCATTTCACCCGCTCCCTGTCATGGGGCTCATTCTTATGTATGCTGGAGTCCCCTCTCCTCAGCTCTGCCTTTGCTTCCTTCCCACTGGCCTTCACAGGCTCTCTTACCTGCTGTTCCCTTATGTTCCTGTCTGCCAGGTGGGGACGTATGTCCATGTCACTGCCAGAAAAGTGCACGAGGCAAGCAAAGGGTGCCCCAGCCCACAAGACTGTTCAGCAATTTCACGTCTGGGCTGAAAAGCTACTGAACGGCCAATCTTTACTGCATGACTGGCTCTTAGCAAGCTGCTGCTTTTCCTCACCAGGAATATTCCTCACTCCTTTTAGACAGAAGAGCAAACTGGGAGCTGAGAAAGGAAGACCTACTCAGGTTACAGAAGCCCTTGGAGAGCTCTTAGACCTGGTGGGCTCCCTCCCCATGTTCAGTGTAGTGAGATGGGTGCTGAAATGCTACCCACGGAGTAGGGTGTCTTCCACTTAGGAGGGGCCCAGAAATAACCCACACCCACCAGTACTAGGACCCAAAGCCCCACAGGATGATCTCGGAAATCCAGGTCCCAAACACTACTGGAGAAACAGGGGGGAAAGCAGGGCAACCAGGCCCAGAATCTCCAGAGAATCCCAGATGTGTCCCTCCCCACTCCCCTTCCCTAGCAGAGTCCCAGGGAAAGTTCTGGGAACCTGGGAGGGTTACACCGGGAGCAACTGTCATCCAGGACAGTGGCCATGGGCGCCCAGGCCTCCCCTTCCAGCGAGGCCGCTGCCCTAGGCTCTCCCCGCGCGCTCTGCCTCACTCCTTTCCGCTTCCCGGTCCGGCCGGCAGGCTCACCTTTGGGCAGCTTGGACACGTTCTCCTGGATCCAGGAGAAGAGGTGGGCGAAGTCGCAGTCGCAGAGCCAGGGGTTCCCGTCCAGGCGCAGGGTGCGCAGCGCAGGCAGCGCGGCCAGGGCGGCCACGTTGAGGCTGCGCAGGTTGTTGTCGTTGAGCTCCAGCACCTGCAGCGACTCCAGGGTTTCGAAGGCGGCCTCGTGCACGCCCGCCAGGTTGTTGTTGGCCAGGCTCAGCTTGACCAGCCTCCCGGCCGAGCGGAAGGCGCCGGCGCCCAGCTGGGTCAGGTTGTTGTAGCTGAGGTCGAGGAAGGCGAGCTTGGCCGAGCCGCTGAACGTGCCCTCCTCCAGAGAGCGCAGAGAGTTGTTCCTGAAGTCCAGGTAGACCAGGTCGCCGTAGAAGATGAAGAAGCCCTCGGGGATGTGCTGGATGCGGTTACCGGCCACCAGAAGCTTGCGCACGTCCAGGGGGAAGGGGTCGGGCACGCTGGGCAGCCCGCGGTCGCGGCAGTCCACGGTGTGCGGATCGGTGCAGGCGCAGCCCGCGGGGCACGCGGGTCCTGGCGGGAGCAGCAGCAGGAGGCTGCAGAGCCCCAGCGCGGCGCCGGCGCCGGCGGGGGCGCGGGGCGCGGCGCGGGGGCGCATAGCCGGGACCCGCGCGAGCGGCGGCGACGCGGACGCGGCTCTGGGGCCGAGCCCTGGCGCGGGGCGGCGCGCGGGGTTCCGGCGGCCAGACGCTGGGAGCCGGAGGGCTGCCGGGGCGGGGAGGGCTTGCGCCCGGGCGCGCGGGGCGATGGAGCGCAGCGCGGACCGACCAGGGGAGCCCGGGAGGCTCGGGCGGAGGGGGCAGCTCCGGGGAGGGAGAGCCGAGGGCCTCGCGAAGGATTTACCCGAACAGGAAATTAACCCGCTGGAAAATCCCGGGAGAGAGGCGGGAGCGGCAGGGGTGGCGGAGTGGCCGTCCCATACGCGGCCCCGCCCGGGCAGCTTATTTCCGACACCGGGCAATAAGACCTGTCTTGCGGACTTGGCGCGGAACACTCGACGACCAAGTTCAGTGACCAAGCGCCCCCAGCCCCAGTGGATTTCAGAGGGCGTGTCACGGTCGTGCGCCCCGCACCCCCGCGCCCGCCTGGTGCCAAAGCGCGCTCCCCGCGCGCCACCCCTTGCAAAAGGGAGCGCGACCTGGGTCCCTCTGGCTCTGCGCCAGGGCATTCCCGGCGGGCTCTCGTGGGCCGCGCCAGGGGCTGTTGATCCGGAGTTGGGCGGGGCTCCAGAGGGCTCCAGGGAGCTCCAGGGTGGCTGGTCCTCCTTCCACCTTTCCTCCACCGGCACTTAACCCATCTCAGTGAGACAGGCGGAGTCAACCAGTAGGCGCTGCCAGGGCCCCCGCTGTGGCCCGAAGGAAAGCCAGGGGCCAGTCAGCAGTTTCCACGCTGGCCCTGAGTTTGTCGGGGAACTGGCAGCCACCTGGGCGCGGATCTGCTGCTGATCTAACCAAGTCCCAGCCGAGAGGCTCCCTCAGAGGCCTCAGAGGCCAGGGTTCCCAGCTGTGTGGCCTCAGTTCCAGTGCTTCCACACTCTGGACCCCGTGTGCCCCATCTGTAAGATGGGAAAAGGTAATATGCATGACACCAGCTTTGGGGGAGGAACACAGAGTCAAGAAACAGAGTTTAAAAATGATCTTTTCGGGCTTCCCTGGTGGCGCAGTGGTTGAGAATCCGCCTGTCGATGCGGGGGACGCGGGTTCGTGCCCTGGTCCGGGAAGATCCCGCGTGCCGCGGAGCGGCTGGGCCCGTGAGCCATGGCCGCTGAGCCTGTGCGTCCGGAGCCTGTGCTCCGCAGCGGAAGAGGCCACAACAGTGAGAGGCCCGCGTACCGCAAAAAAATAAATAATAAAAAATAAATAAAAATGATCTTTTCCCTCTTAATTTCTACTCCATCCTCAACCAGCCCCCAGCTTTGGTCCCCAAGGAAGGTGGTCAGGGCGGTGCCAAGGCTGGAAGGACAGCAAGGAATGGCATGTGTAGCCTCAGAGCCTTCACCAGCCCCCAAGTCAAACTCCTTTCCCTTCCCAACCCCATTTAGAAACTTTTCTAAGGAGAAGTCCCCACAGAGCCACCAAGAGATTGTCCTGCTGTTGGCTATTTTGGTCCAAGTGTCCTGGAATTGATAAGCTCCCCCTGGACCAAAATAACCCAGGAACAGCTGTTGGGCAGCAGGCCCCCAGAGCCCGTGCCCTGGCCCCTGGCCCCATGCGGATTGATGGAGCCTTGAATTCTGAAGCCACAAAGCTAAGCCCTGGCCTTTTTCCAAAGGTACACACAGCTTGACGCCTTCCGATGGATCAAAGCCTCAGCCTCTGGGACACAGCCACAGGCTCAACAGAGCCTTGGGTGAGGAGGGGTACAGAGCCCTGAGGGAAGCTCTGAGGCACTTGGGGGCCTGCCTACACCCCAGGCCTCCACACCAGACCTCCTGAGTCTCCTGTCTGTGTCCCCACTCTCCCAGGGTCCCCAGTTTGTCTTGGTCATCCCCCGCTGCAAGGGCTCAGCCCCCATTCTGGTCTCATCCCTTTGATGAGGCAGGTCTGGGGGAAACGTCTGAATCGTCCCAGAGTGGGTGAACACCCCAGGCTGCATAAATAATGCATTATTGCCGTGTCAAGGCAAAGGCAGGTGGCAGAACAAACGGGTCCCCCCATTACAACTCTCCAGGAACACCCTGGAACGATCGGTTACACCCTCCACCCCTCCAGCCTCAGGCTTGGCTCTGGTCCCTCACTCTAGCACTGAGGGGAACCTATTCCTTACCCGTCTGAGCCCCTAGCATCGTTGCTCGGGGCATCTGCGTTTGGCTGGGCTGCCATCCTACACACGTGCCCCCCTGGGCCTGTGTGTCTGAGAGCACCTACCTGCCTGCCAAGTGGTCTGGTAGGCTGGAGCCCTGGCCGGAGTGTCAGGCCCCTGGACCTGGTCCTGGCCCTACCCTTAGCCACAAAACCTTTCACAGGCCACTCGACCTCTCTAGGGAAATACTTCCCAGTCGGGGATCCTTGGGCCCCCTGAGGATCAACTCTTTTCAGAATTTCAAAAACTCTGGTGAAAATTGGGCCTTTTCCTGTAAGGAGGTCACCCAGAGCAAATGCCGCAGTTCTTGGCAATGAACTCAGTGATAGCCCTAATTCTTCTGTGTTGAGCAGAAACTGGTGACTTTGATTCATGGAAACAGATGAATTTCTACCTAATAAGTTCAGAGCATTTAGCAAGGGCCTGCAAAACAGGGGGTTGCACGGTTGTAAAAGAATCAAAGGGTCCCCGGTAATGAAAATGTTGAGAAATGACACTCTGGGCCTTGACTGCCTCATCCTGAAACTAGAGGGAAAATACCTTCCCTCTCCCCTTCCACAGCCACTGTGAAGGCAACGTGGGGAAATATTGGTTTGGAACGTGAGCTGAAAAGTGTTTGGAGAGACACTGCATATAAAAGTGGCGGTAAGTCTTGCTGTGGCAGGAACGCCTTGCTTCTTGCTTTGTGTCCCCCAAAGTGCCTTGAATCCAAATCGAAAGGCTTTTTTTGTGAATAGCAGAAGGAGCAGACATGGCTGGGGCTCGTGGGGAGCAGACAGGCCCCCCATATTCCAAGACTCCCATGCCTTGGGAAAATGCAAGCTTTGCCACCTCTGATTTTCCCCCAGCAAGGAAAACATAGCTGTGACCTCAGCAAGGTCACACCGTGAGTCAGTGGTAGCTGCTGGAAATAGAACGCAGGCATCCTGACTCCCCTGCCACCCCACTCACCGTGCTGCCTCCCTGGGAAGGGGGCCTCTTACAGATTGAGGAAAAACACTGCAGGTGATGTGGAGAGACACCTTCAGAGACTCAGTTTATCGGCTCCATTTCTGTATTTATTCCCAGAGTCAACACACTTTGTGATGCCTGATCAAGAGGTTCAAAACAGGGGTGGGACAAATACCGGAGGTATCCTGATGTTTTCAGAACCTTCCCCAAATCGCCAAGCAGAATCCCTCACCCCTCTTCTATGCTCCCCGAGCTACAGAGCACTTCCTATCTTATCTTGTAAGCGGCCGCTGTCTGACTCCCCCTGAGGCTGGGCCTTGGGGAGCTACGTGGTTGGGGTCCGCAGGAAATCCCCCACGTGGTGGCTGGTCCCTAAGCAAAAGCAAACCGGGCGTGAGGGCTTCCCCTTTGGTTGCCTCTAAATTAGCCCAAATCCTAGGCCCTAAATTGTAAACAAGATGATGCCAGTGTGGTATGTGCAGGAATCTGAATTTAGGTGCAGAGGCTAGGTTTGAAGGATAAGACGGTGGATGGCATTTGGTGATGTCATTTGGGTTACTGGCCTGTGTCACCTGTGATGAGTGCCTGGCTGACCTGGCACCCCGTGGGCCCCAGGAAGGGAGACGTGCTCTGGCCCTTTGCCTGGGGGCAGGATGACTCAGTGGAACCAGCTCTCTGCTCCGAGGACGACACTGCTCTGTATCGGTCCCCTCACTAACTGGCAAACCCCAAGCTCCAATTTGTTCCCACCCACTGCCCTTCTCCACCACCACCACCAGGGGGCACCATCCGCCGCTTGTACTGGTGAGAGCTGAACCCTTCCTCTCTCAAGGCAGCAGCTCTGTCTCCTCCCATAAAACTTGCTTTTGTTTTGCTCTCCTCTGGCAAGGCTGGACCCACTTTTTAGAAGAAAAGCTCCTGCCCCTGTTTCACCTCTGGTACTAGGAAACGAATCCTTAACCAGCCTCAATGGAGGCAGAGTGGTAGTCGTGCTTAAGAACATGGGTTTGGAGTCGGACAGACCTGGGACGAACCTGGTTCTCTTGTTCCTTGGCTCTGTCACCTTGAGCAAGTTGCTTAATTTCTCTAAGCCTCAGTTTTCCCATCAATGAAATGGGATAATACTAGTGCCTATTTCACTGGGTTGTTATGAGGATTAAATGAGATCTATCAAGTGCTTAGCAGTGAGTCTTGACATCATAATTATTTATTTCTTTGTTTTTTCACATATAGCAGGTAAATATTTAATGGAAGTGGTATTCTTTAGGTAAATAATTAAAGTGTTTATCTGGAATGTATTTTCTAGGGATGGCCTACATTCTAGGATTGGGTTTAGTAACTTTCTCTGCCCTGAACCTTATTCCAAATGTAGCATTTCTCAGACACACACACACACACATCCCCACCCTTTAGCCCCCTCCAGCTCTGGCTGACTTTGTGAGCACAGCTTCCAGCATCCTGGCTTGGTTGGCCTGAGCGTGGGCAGACCAATGAGACCAAGGACATGGGGTCATTCCCTCAGCCTGGCACAAGGAGACATCTGTTCTCTGCTCACAGCCGGTGCTCCTAGTGCTGGCCAGCCAGCCAGCAAATGAGTGACCTTGGGTAAGGAGGATGGGGATACTGCCACCCCGTCTCTCCCAGGAGAAAAACGCAGAGCACACGTCCCAACAGCCAAGGGCACCGCCATCCCACAGGCAGGAGGCACATGATCTCCAGTGAGTTCGGGACTCATCCCTGCTTCCTCTTCCCTCACACCCACCTCCTGTCCACTAGCAAGGCCCTTTGGTGCTATGTCTCTACCTCCACTGGGATCTCCTTAGTCCAAACTGGCATCGTCCTTTA